TTCAGCATCCAAACTCCCCACGAGAGAGCCTGTGCGCGACCTCGCCCCGACACCTGGGCAAGGAGCGCCTTGCGCTCATCTTCCCAGCAGGGCACGTCCCCGCTCAGGGCCGGAAAGGCCGAGAGCAGCCCTTCCCCGGCGTCGCTGGCTCCAGCTGGGCCTGCCGGGCGTCGAGCGCAGACCCCTGTTTGGTCTCTTTGGCGCTCTCAGGGCTTCTGCTGCTCGTAGGGAGGCAGGTCAGAGGGAAGCGGGAGCTGACTGGTTTGGATACGCTGGCAAGAAGAGGAGGGCGGGCAAGGAGGGCGAGGTAGAGCGGAGGTGAGGAGTTGCGGAGGAAAGAGTCTCTGCTGCGCGTTAAATTACTTAGCGGTCCTGTGGAGGGCGGGGGGGAAAAGTTGTGTCTGATCACGCAGACTATCCTTACGCAAGGCAGCAGGGTTGGTTTGACTTTGCGTTTTTGGGGCGCTGAGGGTTGGGGGGTGGGTAACGGTCTGCATGGTGAGAAAGGGAGGAGAACGTGCCCAGGACTGGCGTTTGGGTGGAAGGGAGATATCACATGGGAATAACTTTAAAACTTCTTTTGAAAACTCTTCCAATTTTCAAGCATCACACAGAGCTGCTTAAAACGTTTTCAGAAGATGAGTAGTTATGTCTTGTTATCTTGTATTTGTTTGATTGTGGAAGCTGGAAAAAATACAAAATAGCTCCCCTTCCGTCTGCTTTGGGATGGACTGTAGGACAAATGATACCTTAGAAAAACTTAAAAGTTTCAAAAACGTGCCTCGATTGCACCGTGTTGTACCTTTTTTTACATCCTTTTCGCCCTAACTCTGGACAGGTTACGTAGCGGTTGTTGTTTGGCAGGCATCTAACTGCGCTACCAGTTCACTGCAGAATTTTATGACGAGCCGGATCTAGACCAGTCAGTCCACCCCTGCTGTCCAGCGATGCGTTGGAGGGAGTTACATTTCTTTTTATGTAAAGCTATCCATGTATTGTGTGCAAGGCAAGACCGCAGTGTGTCATTGCATCTGATTTTTGTAACTATGGGTTACGATTCTGGAAGTGATTCCTAATTGACAAGAAGGAACTGAGGCACGTTTTCCTTTTAACCTCAATAGGTACAACGTAGGCAACAGTCATACAAAGTTCTTCATATACTGGTTCATGGCATACATTCCTCTTGTCGTTGCTTTGCCTTCCTCAGTTCCTGAGCCCCTGCTGACGTATTGTTCACTGTTCCCTTTGCAATTGGAAGCAAGCCTTATTCTGCTGCCCATAAAATCTGTTTTGTGAGTTGTCTGAAGATTGAAGGCAAGATTCATACTGGAGCTTGCTATTTCAAACTTAGTAGAAGATGGCTTGCAATCCTGTGGTGTCTGCGAACTGCTGGTGGCTTCCAAGAGGCGCTTGGATCCAGGAGTCGGCACCCAGAGCATTGTTGTGACAGAAAGTGTCCAATGTGACGGAGTAAGTCATCGGAGAATCCTAACAACAAAAACACGCACAAAAATCCTCTCCGCTGGTTCTGTCCCCACACTTCCCTGTGCTTCAGGCAGAAAGGAAGCTGCAAATTTTCTAAATGCTCCATTTCTAATTTCCTCCCATCCTCTAGACATACTCAGTAACTGTGATGTCAGGATGAGCTCTCTGTCAAGGATTATTTAAAACTGCCTTTCTTTTCATCGCAATATGGTGGACAAAGTAAGCTGATTATTGCCCTTGTCTTTCACAATTGTTAACACCGTTTGGAGAGACTTACATGGCACTCTTTTATTAAAGCAATAATGGATTTAGATCTGGGCTAAGAGCAAACAACTGCTAGACAACCAGTAGTAATGGCAGTCGTTTCAGAAGGGTTTTTTGTTTGTTTTAAGAACAATGCTATGAAAAGCTCTCAGCAGTGTGTTATTCCCTTGGACATGTTACTCTTCCTCCCTGCATTTCAATATGTATCTTTGTATCTCAAGGTAACATTAAAAAAGTCTGTATTCATGTCTGTATCTGTTAATATTTGCCCTTATTCAAAATCTGTGTGGGATGAAAGAAAAACACCACTTCTGTGGAAGATACACAGTGAAATGAAAATAGTGCTTTAAAGCTCTACTCAAGTACCTGTGCAAAGATCTTACACATGTAGTTTCAGTTTCTTTAAGACACTACAAAGTAACAAGAAGTGTTTTGCAGCTCCGCACCTAGGCTGCTGAATTTCTGGTGCAAATTTGATTTATTTCCTTCTCATGCTCTTATGTTATAGTAAAAGGCATTGGCTTGCCAAGAATCATTCCATGAAGGGAAGTTCGTTGCATAAATGTGCAAGCTGTAACTCCCTGCAAGATAAAGGCTTAGGGTGCTAATTGACCTTTTTCTGCATTTGATTACACCAAGAAATCCAATATTGTTTTGTCTTGGAAAATATTTACTTTTCTTTCTTGGTATTTGATTCCTAGTTCTTTTTTTTTTTCTTTTTTTACAAATTTTAGGTTGAGTATTCTTCAGAGACAGAGTATCTTAAACTGGGGCAGGAACACAATCCCTAACTGGAGCCTGCAAATCCCGTTTCATTCAATACTTATGCCAAGGTTTAGGCCTGAACTAAACTGTTAGGACTGTAAATGGTGTTCTAGTCAATAATTACTAGCATGGGTGATGGAAGGAAAATTTATATTTGTCGCGGGCATTCTGTGGCCATAATTCTATTAAATTCACAGGCAAAAGGTCATTAGTTGAAGGAGATGCTGGAGGAACTGCAGGATGCAGACTCCGTGAGAGAACTTCTTTAGCTGATTCCTAACCAGGAGTCGGTAGGCTGTCTTAAATTCCCTCCAGAGGTGGGTGGCTGGAGCAGATATGAGTCCTCTTGCCCTGAAACGGATGAGGAACTCTCAAAATACTCTGTCCTCCTGAATAGTGCCTAAGTAGAAATATTCAGCAGTAAAACAAGCAACTTAGAAGAACTATAAAACCAGAGTTTCCACAATAAACATCTAGCTGCAACCTTAGCTATCCTAGGCTTTAGGATAAGGAGGATCTTGGATTCCTGTTTAGGAAGGGCCAAGAAAGAGCCAGGATTTGTAACAGTAGCCTAAGACAAAGGATTTGGGCTCTTGGAGCCATTTGTTTCAGAGAGTTTACCATAAGAACTCAGCCTTATGGCTGTTATCAGAGACAATAATCAAGAAGATCATCACTGATAAGCATCAAGGGTTGTAAATCTGTTCAGGTAGTAAGATAGTGTAGATAACTGTCGTACTGCTTCTCCAGGTTGGCAGTGACACGGAAAATGTTTCAGGAAAGGACTGGGAATAATCTGTAAATAATTGTTTCTAGCAGACGGTAACCCAAAATAAAGAAAATGGCTCGACAAGGGTTAGTTTTGTAGCCTCAGTATGCTGCCTTTCGTTAAAAGACTAGCTAAGACTTTTTCTTAACAAGGAACCAACATAAAC